GTGTTACTGGAGGTTTGCAATCTGCAGGTGGCTTAAAATCTGTGTTGAGTGCAACCATCTGTGTGAGGGGATTGTGCCGCTCCTCTTCCAGCTTTTTGCGGGTGCGGAACTCTGGGGCGTTAAGCCGCTTCCCCCTCGTTACTGTAAACGGCTCAGGGGAAGGGGACCTGTCCTTAGGGTTGGGGAGATGCCCAGGTCTCCCATGCGCAGTTTACGAGTCAGGTCTTCTAATGGCAGTTGCAGTCTGTAAGGTTTTTTCGTTGTTGTTGTTGTTCTCGAGTAAGTCCGGGGGAATAACTGTAGGTATTCCCGCAATCACCGTCTTCTGTTCCATTATGACTTGTTCCAGCAGCTCCTCTGCCGCTTCTGACTTGGGAAGTCCAGAGGCCTGGCGTTCGCTCCAGTCGCCATGGCGGCCCCGGGGAGCGGCACCCGCTGCTGCTTTTCCTCTGCTGCGGCTTCTGCTTCGCAAGCGTCCCACGGAGACTGAACCTGACTGCACTGTGCCACTCACGCGACTGGCGGCGACTGAGCGAGTCGCCCAAAGAGGGAGGAAAGAAGGCGCTGTGGAGGCGGGCCGGGGGCGACGGGGCCGGGACCTGGATTGGGCCAGGCCGAGGCCAAGGGTCGAAATCGACGGCCTCCGTTTGGCTGAGCCTCCATCCTTCTCGATGCGCACTGGGATTGGCCGAACCGTTAGGTCAGGCGAGGAAATGGCGGCGGAGTCAGGTGTGCTGAAAACTTCATCTTCCACAGAAGCTTACTAAACTCAGGTATTATTTCTCCCTTGGAACATTGTTTTGTTCTTGTCAAAAAGGGGATTTGTGTGGCTAATCAAGTGGGCTGCAGAGGATGCACATGGACCGTGAAGGTTTAAATGATGTTCATTGAAAATTATGTGATTTTCGGGTTAAATAACTTTTTAGTAGCACCAAAAAGTATAGCTCTTAGGGAATGGATTTAAGTCAGTTGCCTAGTTTTATAATGTATCTGTGTCCGCCTCCTTGCTATTTAGCGGAAGGGCTATAGAGAGTGTGAGATTATACGACTTTCTGTTTTTGTTTGTTTTTGTTTTTGAGGCGGAGTTTCTTGTTACCCAGGTTGGAGTGCAATGGCGAGATCGTACAACTTTCTTAAAATAAAATAAAATAGCCTCTCCCCTCCCCCATCTATGGTTTCTCCTTCTACAGTTTCAACTATGGTTTAAGAATATCAACCGGGCCGGGCGCGATGGCTCAAGCCTGTAATCCCAGCACTTTGAAAGGTCGAGGCGGGTAGATCACGAGGTCAAAAGATCGAGACTATCCTGGTCAACATGGTGAAACCCCGTCTCTACTCAAAATACAAAAAATTAGCTGGGCATGGTGGCACGTGCCTGTAATCCCAGCTACTCAGGAGGCTGAGGCAGGAGAATTGTCTGAACCCAGGAGGCGGAGGTTGCGGTGAGCCGAGATTGCGCCATTGCACTTCAGCCTGGGTAACAAGAGCGAAACTCCGTCTCAAAAAAAAGAATATCAACCGGAAAATTCCAGAAATATACAGTTCTGTAACAACCAAACACTAAATATTGCATTATTCTGAGCAGCATGATGAAGTCTTACACTGCCCCACTCTGGCTAGCCCGGTATGGGAATTATTCCTTTGTCCAGCAGCTCCGTGCTGTCTATGCCACCTGCTCTTTTGTCATTTAATAGCTGTCTTGATGATCTGGTTGACAGTGGCAGTATCACCAATGCATGTTTTTAATTACTTTTTACTTTGTAATGGCTCCAAAGTGCAAAAGTAGTGATGCTGACAGTTTGGATATGCCAAAGATAAGCTTTAAAGGGCTTCCTTTAAAAGAAAGATATAAATTCTCGACCTAAGAAAATTTTTAAAAATCATATGGCGAGGGTGCTAAGACCTACAGTAAGAAGGACTCTTCTATTCATGAAGTTGTGAAGAAGAAAAAAGAAATTTGTGATTGTTTTGCTGTCCCACCTCACCTCACACTGCAAAAGTTATGGCCACAGTGTATGAGAACTGCTTAGTTAAGATGGAAAAGGCCATAAATTTATAAGTGGAAGACATGAACAGAAAAGAGTTCCTATTGACCGCAATTGATTCACTGCTACTGGCAGTTGCAGGTATCCCCTGGGAGTCTTGGAATGGTTCCCATGCAGATGAGAGGGTCTGCTGTATTCCTAAAGAACATATGTGAATGTTCCTTTAGATTGTTTAAGATGTCTGTGCTGCCACAAATAGATATTAAAAAGTCAAAAGGAAGGAGATTAATATTTTCAATTTTACTAGAAATGAAAACCTTAAAGTTCTCATCTGAAATCATGATAATTAAAAATATTAAGTGATTTTTGAGATCATGTGGATTACAGTAGTATTCAGGCTACAGTAAAAATCTAAGTCTGGATTAAAGCCAGAGCAATACGTGGAATAGTACAGTGAAATGGTGCATTTTCTTTTTTTAGGATTTGGAATAATACTAAATAAATGTTACACATAAAGTGTGTATATATATATGTATATACACACACACACACACATATGTGTGTATATATATATACACACACACACACACATATGTGTATATTCCAATGACATTGGAGAAGCTATTATTATAAATTGCATATGTTGCATGATTTTGAAATACTGTGTCTTTTTCTTGTAAGATTTTCAGTGTGAAGATGCAACATTCTTGTAAGTTCAAATAAGCCAACAAAGATTCAACTTAGGTATTCTAACTTATAAATAGCTTAGTTATCCTTTAGCAGAACAATAGTTACAATGTAAATTTTACTTTCCATGTATTTAAATTGAACTAGTAAATTCGTGTTTACTATGATATTAATATTCATTGATTCAACTAAAATTTTCATTGAATGCCTATTAAGTACAAAATCCTGTACTTTCTAAATAATTTTATATAATAATTTTCTAAAATAACTTTATATAATCTTTCGTGTGGGCAAGGAATTGCCTCATCAAATCCATTAAATATGAAAAGAATCTTAAGTTCACCTTCCAATCTGTTTTTGGAATACATGCTTTGATAAATATTAAAATGCTGACATTATGAGGGGAAATATACTATGTGAAATGACCTAGTCTTTAGTTTGAATGATCAGGGTAAGATTATGTCCTGTTTATGATACTGGGTCCACTCTTCCATCTGGATTCTTTTAAGTTCTACAAACCCAATCCTTTTGGCAACACAGTTTCCTTAAATTCTAGGATCTCTCTACTATTCAGATACCTTGCTTCATTCATTCAAAGGAATACATGAAAACTAGTGTCTTTCTTTTCCTTTAAAAGAAAGATATAAGTTCTCAACCTAAGAAATAGGTTTGATTCCTTTGAATACATGAAAGAATATCAACTGAAAAATTAGAAGACACTAAAGTATGTGAGAAAAGGGCCACCCCTCTTAACCAAGGAAAGAAACTGTATCCATAGGATTACAGTAATATTCAGCAGCAAACTTAGGGACATCAACATGAAACTTTGTAGTTAAGCTTACTTTATGATTAAGGAAATTATTTCAGTCAATGGAAATAGCATTATGATAGAACGTTTGTTACTCTGTATTCTCTGAAATATTACTGTTTAATAAAAGATACTTTCAGGAGAAAGAATAGAGAAGTAAGTAATTCTTAAAGGCTATTGCTCTTTCTACATGCAAAAAATTATTCCTGTATATTATCTATCTGGTTTTGAGCAAAAACTCTCTGAATCCACAGGGATAGCACTGGGCATAATTGATTAAAAAGGCTGCCACTAACACTGGCCAGTGTTCCTGGATTTTTCAGAATATCTGGGCAATTTTGCTCTGCTCCTGGAAGTAGGAGAGTCAGAGGCAATGGCTATGAGTATGGAGAAAGAAATAGATGTAGCTCATATCTCCTAGTATGGAATGTTTTCTTATGGCATAAGACATTATAAAAGGTAGCTCCTATGCATACTGACTAAAGTTGCCTACCAAAGTTAATTAGCTTGGCCGTTTCATTCATTGATTTTTAAATAAAAGATAATATTACGGCTTGGGAATATGATTTTAGAAAAGAGATTTAACTTTTCCTAGCACAAAGGCTTGCATGAGGTCACAGAAGCCACAAAAACAAGCTCTGCCTGAAAATGGGTTTAAAAATAAATCAGATAACTTGAAAGACCCTTTGAGGAAGGTACATATAAATTCTTTACTGCTGCATCCAAGTTATGAGTCTCTTAGGGCTACAATATCTTTCATTTGATCAACCACAGTTTGAGAGCACAGAACTAGAATGGGGTAGAGTGGACAAAAAGAAATAATTATCCACGCATATATTTACAGCACAGTTCCTTTGCAGAGGGAATAGCACCCTTTTTTGTGTGTGTGTTCCACACTTAACCTTCCTTTGGCCTTGGAATTATCTGGCTTGTTTTCCTCTGTAGGAAAGTTCTGAAATATCAAACACAGCTGTAGACAAAGGAAGAGGTTGGTCAAAAAGCCCACCCAGAGATTCCATAATAAATGGAAATGAAAGTAACTTACATAGAATCAAGTAAACTTTGCTTTGGTACTATAGAATCCCAAGAGTCATTTGCATGGGGAATCAGAAGAAAACAATGAGATAAAACAAGAAAGCAAATTGGTTGAATGGCACTCTTTGGAGGCAAATGAGGAAGCCAAGCATCATAAATTTCCTAGTGGCTGGGCAGAAGGTAAGAGATTGAGGAACACTGCTAAAAAATGTTGCAGGGATTTTCATTTCCAAAAAACTCATGCACCTGTTGATGTATTTTCCAGGCCCTTGGACGATAGCAATTTATGAGGCTATTAGTACTAAGCCCAAGATTTATCAGATGTTCTGTTTGTCTTATGGCCAATATGACCTCATAAAATTTGGGTTGCACTGAGTTACAATGCAGCGTTCTGCTATTGGAATTATTCAGAGCATTTAAATCGGTTAATGCTACAAGAATTGTGCATTTAGCCTGCCTATTAGAGAGTCTTTAGGGATTCCTACCAGTTGCAGAGCCAGGCTGGAGAGGGCGGTCCATTGCTGGGTGAGGTAAAACGGTGGCAGCAGGGGAAGAGTAAGTCCTGGAGACAAGACGGTGTTTGTCTAGTCCATCCATACCAACCGCAGCCAGCGGAGCTTGGCGCACAGAGAGTGCATGTGTGCGCGGGGGCTCCAGGAAGGGCTGTTGTCAAGAAAAGAGCACAGTAGAAAGAAATGTAAGTCAAGGATTGAGGGAGACACTGAGAGCGACATGTCAACAAATTCAAGTTCATCAGGTCAGAGACATAATAAACAGTGTGAAGGAAAAAGAAAAAAAAAAATAGAGAAAGAAAGAGAAAAAACAAGATTCAGTCAATAAATCCATTCAACAGATGTTTTCACACTGACAGCCAGGGCCTGTCTGCCTGGCTAAGGAGCAGGCGATGGCAGGAGGCCTGTCAGTTTGAAGTGATTGAAAGAAACAGACCTTTAACCTCTAGAGTAACGTTGACCTAGACTCATTTCCTACCTAGATACCAACATTTTGAATATAGCCCCGGGACTGCCACACAACATGGGAGAACAATTCAACTGCTTTCAAACTGCCAATGAGGCCTAATGCTGAAAATTCTCTCCTGAATTTATTTCAGTGAATATTGTTCATGAATTCTATGGATGCCTCTACAAATGACCAATTACACAATTATACTTGGACACCTGTCAGTCTTCGTACAGTCTTCATATATTGGTATAGAAAAAAATGAGTATTTCATAGTTTGTATGATATAATTTCAACACTATAAATTATTTTTAAATATATTATTAAATATATCCTCAGTGATTTAACACTGTTATTATTCTTCATCCTTCCCAAGTTACCAAATCAGTGAACCATAGTTTGGAAGTTTATGGAAGATTCACTTAGTCTCTTTCTCTGTCTCCATAAAAAGATACTCTCAAACACATATAAGCAGCTTAATCATCAATGCTACACAGAGAGCTCTGTCCAAAAAAAAAACCGTATGTTTCAAAATATATATTTATAATATATATTGTTTTAAAAATTTGTTAATATTTATTAATAAAAATATTTATCAAAAATTTATATACTACACTGAATATTTTCTCTCTCTTCAACATGAGGGAATTAATAATCTTTATGCTGTTTTTATTTATCTTTCCTAATGAATATGGAAATAGCTGAACAGCAGTAAAAATCATGATAATCTCTTGCCGTAGATAAAGACACTGTTGCTCCAAAAGTTACCAAAGTAAACAAGTCTAATCCCTATAATTTTAGAAATGCGTGTGCTCTTCTGCTTCTGCTTCCTGCCTGACTAGCATTTGTTCTTTCAAGACTTGATGCAGACATTACTTCTCCTTAGTGGGGCCTAGATGCAGACATTACTTCCTGCTAGACTAGATGTTCCCTTTCCACCCAACATGTGCCATCACATGTCATACTCATCCTGTATTTCCAGCCCAAGGCTTGGTATGTGCTATATGTACAAATTACTCACCTACTGAGAAAGCTAACAAATCTGTATACAACACAGCTGTACTCATTGCATATTATGTAGTTTTATGTAATTGTAGCTTTCTCTATATATGACAGGAGTTAATGTTGCATATAAATCTATGAATTGGGATTATAAATACATATTTAATTATAGACCATAGGCAGAGATTTCTGAATTTAGAAAAAAGTAAGAATGACTTAAAATTAACTTTAAGATAGGTTATAATTCACGTATGTTATTGTTACTTGTGTTTTGCTCTACAGAATAATCAAACCATCAATCAATTGGAAAGTATATGTCACATATTTAGGCTTTGGCCATTTGCTTCGAAGATTGGGATGCATTGGTCAGGGATCTAGTTCTAGTTACAATAGTTTATACAGTTTTACAAAGGTCTGTCTCTTGTTTTGTTTTGTTGAGTGTCTTATGTTCAGTGCCTGAGGACACTGCAGTAAGATTAATATGGTGCCTTTTCATATGGAGCTTACTGTTCCAGGGAATACAAATATCAGGAAAAGGAAACTTTTCAACATATGATCTAAAATTCCTGGGTATATGTTTATCTGATTTTTGGTAATATTCATCTCTTCTCTTTCTACTGTAATTTCTTCAGCTCCCATTTAAGACATTGCAAAAGGCTCCTCTCTGATCACCCGACTTCTAATACCAACCAGTCCAATTCCTTCCTGGAAGAATTCTCTCCCTGAAGCCCTGTGGTAAACAAGACATTAACACGAAAAGGCTCTGAAGGTTAACCCAAATTTGAAGAACCTCCCAGCCTGTCATTTGTACTCTTCTTGACCTGAGGCTAACCAACATGTTCAGCCTTAGATCATTTATTCCTATTCTAAGTTATAGCCAAAACACTATCTACTGAACAACAGATATCATTCCCAAGGCTGCAGTATGACTTTCATGGGCCTTGTGCATTTTTATCTTTATGGACTCGAAAAAATAGTATTAAAACTTGCATTTTAAGCCTTTATTTGCATACACTGGATTCATTATTATATATACATATTATTAGATTCATTTTTTCTTATTAAGAAATTAAAATTTGAAACTTTTTGTGGGCCCCTAACAGTTTATCATAGGCTCTGGGCACTGTGTCTGCTGTGTCTAATGGATATGTCGGCTGTGATCATTCATGCTTCTTCCAAGCCATCCTTTCTACATCACCCCTATATTGTGGCTATGAAGCTCCACATTCAGCACTACACACATCCTCTAAGGTCCACTTAAAATTTCATAGTCTGTTTTGAACACTCACATTAACTGTTTTCCCTTTCTGTTACATTCTCATCACATTTTGTTCTCCTTTCCCTGCTGCAGCCTTTTATATATTAGTTATTGCATGCAGTAACTATTTATTGAGCCCACACTTCATGCAGGACACTTTGTTAGTGTATAGAACATTTTTTATGCTTATTCTCTAGTGAGGAGACAGATACTAAATAAGTCATGTGTCCCATAGCAATCTTTTGGTCAAGGATAGACCATACATATGACAGTGGGCCCATAAGATTATAATGGAGCGTAAAAATCCCTATCACCTACTGATGTAATAATAGCCTACCTAATATCATAGCACAATTACTTTATTTTTAACAATTTAGTGTAGCCTAACTGTACAGTGTTTATTAAGTCTACAGTACCATGCAACGATGTCCTTCATGTTCATCACCAGTCACTCACTGACTCACCCAGACCAACTTCTAGTTATGCAAGCTCCATTCATTGTAAGTGCTCTATCCAGATATACTGTTTTACCTTTTATAATAAACTGTATTTTTATTGTACCTTTTCTATGTTTAGATACACAAATTGCCTACAGTATTCAGTATAGTAACATGCTGTACAGGTTTGTAGCCTAAGAAAAGTAGACTATAATATATGGGCCTAGGCGCATAGTAGGCTATACCATCTAGGTTTGTTAAGTATACTTTATGATGATCATACAACAGTGTAATTATAAATACAATGAGTGCTGTATAGGAAATATTCAGGATGCTATGAAAAACTTTTTTTGAAAACCTGATGAAGAGGTTCAGGGAAATTTTGTCTAAGAAAGTGATATTTAAATGAATCAATTTGTCTTTCACTTAAAATGATATTTAAAGTGAAAGACAAATTGGAATTCACCAAGAGAGGAATGAAAGGAGAAGCGCTAAATACATTGTGCATGTGTGTGTGCTGACGTGTGCATGTGTAAAATGATCTTTCCTTTAATAATGTTGAAAGTTCATTGAACCAGAAACTAGATATAACTCATCTTTTAACTTATTTTCTGCTGCGTTTTATATATTTTCTCATACCTTTTGGAAGATATGTCATTTTATTTGTGCATTAAGAAAGTGCAATAGATATTTGGAAATTAAAGGCCTTTTTTTTTAAATCACTTTTTTTAGATGACTGGGGTTACTAAATATTTTATCTCTTAAAGAGTAGCTTGATACTGTAAGGACTCCATTTAAATAACACCACCTATTACCCTTCTCTTTTTTTAATAGTAAATATTTATTGCTTTACTTGAGCTTCACTGAAACACTGTAAGATAATGGAGTAACAGTTTGCTAACTCAAAAGCATTATATAAATGTTACCTCATTGTATAAAACTTCACAATTCAGCAAGTAGCATCCTACCTGTCCAATGTCTACCAGAAAGAATATGGCAATATAGATTATAAACAAATAACTACTTGTTCAATATTAATTTATTTATTACTGATAAACGTTCATCCAATATCTATTGCTCAAGCAAATGGCAACAGTCCTTGCGCTGTGTTGTGTTGTACAGACAGCAGAGTAGATTAAGGATGTTGTGGGTTGACACCCAAACTTTAGGTACTTGTACCTTAACTACAGTTAGTAAGTTCCATGAAGAGATGACATTTTGCTGTTATATATTCCCATGCCTGTCTTTCCCAGGCCTAGTAGTCTTTAATAATTTATATCTTTCACACATAGTAGTCTTTAATAATATATATCTTCAGTTAAAAATGAATGCATAATAAGGAGAGAGATATATATAATCATCCTTAAGATCTTATAATAAGGATAGGCTAAAACAAAAACACAAGCATTATATATACAAAGTAATCAAGAAGTAGCTGAGAAAAAAAATGAGAAATAGGGTCTAGACAAAATGATTACCAAAGGACAAAATCCTAAAATTATTTTGTTTTGGAGATAATGCGAGGAAAGTTCTAGTGATTTGAGGATTATTTTTCCTTTCTACTTTTATGTCGTTTCCAAGTTTTCTGCATATCACCTACATTAAAATTGTAACTTAAAAAAATAGTAAATGTTATTTAAACTAAACAGTCAAATCTTTCAAACACTGTATTAGGACAGCTTCATGATTACTGGAACTATGAACAGAGATGGGCCAAACATTTTCGGACTCTCTTTCAAAATAGCACTGTAGAAGAGAGACGTTTATTCACTTTCAAAGAGTTGATTGCAATTATACACTTTTACAAATGAATTATGGCTTTTAATGTATAAGGAAAGTCATAACAATCCAGTAAACCACATATTATTATAGTACGTATTAGTCACTGAGTTATCATTAAATTCCAGGTCACTTTTATTTTAGGATAGATATCCAGCCTCATTATCAAAAGCATCCTTCTTGAGATTGAAAGCAGAAATTACATTTTTCTTTTGTCTCTGGAATGG